TTGACGCCCATATTATATACATACACATGTGATATATTATTACAGTACAGACTCTGTGGGATTTCAATTTCGGTCGGCAACGTTTTACAGAGACAATCGATAAGGTATGAGTAAGAGGTTCAGCAGGACATAGACCTATCGCTAGTAAACGATACTATATATATACATTGTACAAAAATGACCCTGCAAATGGAAAACCTGACTGGTTTAGATAAAACTTGGAATGAGCCTATAAGATTGTACCTACTTTGGGAGTTGAATGGACGGAACGAGATAGTTTGGTCACACGTTGAGTGTAGCCTGTAGGCTGGTGAGTAAATAAGAATAACAAAATATAAAAGAAATAGAGTTGAGGGGTTAGCCAAAGAAGAAATAGTTGGACGAGATAACTAAAGATATGGTTAGGCTCTGATTGTGGCCGGTCGACTCCGTTTGTATGGAATAAGAAACTTTTAAAAATGTTTGTACCTAGAGGAACTTAAATACTTATATTTACCTCAACATTTTTTATCGAATATTGCCTATCCTTTGGCCCTTTCCCTCGAGACAAGAAGATAATGTTAGATTTTGAAATTCGTGTAATTATTTTGTTCAACATCAATCGTATCATTTTTTACCTTAAAGAGGTTAAACCGTATGTGTAATTATTGGCATATAATTCGGCAATTTGCCTGTTAACCGGACAAGAGGACAATAACCCTATTTTAACTTTACCACATAGGTGCTTTTGCTGTAACATCAAAATTAAGCTAGTCACACCGGTAATCGCCGTTACGACGCCATATGACTTAAGATTAGAGGATTTACACACATTAAGCGGAGACGCCAACATGTACTTGTATCGATTACCGTTTTATATCACTTGTATATAGGTATACTTAAAACTGTCCGACAGAGAGACACGGGGCGTACTACCGGTTACAAGACGAGGCAACGTCTATTAATGCCACCGCCGCCTTTGTAATTATTATTATCATTATTATTATACCTATGTCTTATACGGTATACCTATCTACTTCCTTTACTTTGGTGTTTACACCACGACGATCAGCTGCCACTGCCGCCGATTTCATTGGAGACGCCACCGCCCGTCGCTATCAGATAGAGCGGTTATCTGATAGACCCGGCCAAGCCTATATTATGTGTGTATACATACACAGAAAGTATACATATTATTTGAGAACTGCGACGACCCTTTTCCGCTTCTCGCCACGGGCTAGTCACTCGAGATTTGTTTTATTATTATTTTTTTTTTTATCAAAAAACAATAATAATTTTAAGAAAAAAAAAAAACACCAAGTAGACCCGGCTCAATGGGCCGAAACTAATAACACTTAACAGGACGACCAGACGGCGGCGGCGGCGGCGGCCGTGGGGAACGCACAAAGGAACTGCCGGCACCAGTTTGACATTTTTCCGGTACTAGTCTCAAAGAGATCCGATGTCGCCACAACAACCTTTGTTGATGGTTTGTGTTTTTTTTTGTTTGGAATTTTACAATTTTTTTACAGTTTTTCTTTTCCCGGTCGCCGGTTAAATAATAAATTCTGACAAACATATTTTTTGAAATACTTAGGTTGTTATTTAATTGTCTGTTTCCGGCCGGAGGCAAGAACAACGCGAACATATTTTAAATACAATTATAATATTATTCATTTATCGTTTTCATATTTTATTTGCTATAAGTTTTCAACAGAGATGTACTTACTAAAATTGTTTTGACTTTTAAAAGCAGAACGAATAATTTCCGACCACAGCTGTCTGCAAACTCTTCAGCATTGCGCATTAATAATTTATTCACATAGGTACACTTTAATTATTGTTATGTTAAAATCTCTATTTTAAGGTGAGCAAAAGTAATCAGTTACCACTATTACATTTTAAAAATGAAACTGTATGTCTGAATTAATAAATAAATAAAAATTCGTTTTTATTATTAACTATTTTTTTAAATTAAAATCGCTCATTATTATTAAACTCTTTTTAGGAGTGTTTTTTTTGGTATTTTTAGTTAACTGTCCTGAACACTTAAATGAACCACGATAAACATTTGTTGTATAATACAAGAATTTTAATTTTTACATGCGTGCATTGTTGAATGAAATGATTTCAGAGTTGGTTGGTTAATCTAACCTACCCTTGTACACCAAATAAGGTTTATTTAACTGAAAAAAAATGTCAGTCGGTTCCTACATCTACATATTATGAATTTATACATATATTTATTTACATATTTATTAAATATCATGTTCTGTGTAGAGACGTATATGAGTTTTTAAAGCTAGTTAATTTCTTATTTTAATTACAGTATATTTATTGACCTTAACAATGCCAATAAATACTTGCTTACGAAGCCACACAATATAACTTAATATTTATAATTTTGTATATTTAAAATCATTTGCTGTGTTGCAAAAATCTGTATTGGTTCCATAAATCGTGTTCGGACCAATCACAGTGCTCTAATTAATTAATTTAATAAAAACAGCCTATTGGGACCAATAAAGTTGTGTGCATTACAGCAAATATGCGTAGTAAGTTTTGGCCGTATGTCCTCCTGTTATCACTGATAAGAATGGGTCATTTTTTATCACAACTCCTGATCACCAATATAATTTCTTATCACTAACCTAACGCCATATCTACACCCCCTTATCACTGATAAGAGAAGCTAATCACTGATAAGAAGGTGTTGTTTGCATGCTGTCTGATTTTAAGGAGTTTTGTATGGGCAATATTTAAGAAAAAAGAGGTTTTAATACAATTCGACGATGTCAATCAATTTACCGGTTAATTTGTATAAGCTTCCAAGGTATTTTTTTAAATTTTAATCATTTTTCCTATGAGTAGAAGCCGTTTTGGTTTGTTTTAGAGCAAAAAGCCAGACAAAATTTCGACTATATAGAATGGTCCAATTTAAATTTTGCAAAGAGATTTGAGTTCTTCGGTTACATTCTGAATTGTATTTAAATGTTTCACTTTCTTGTAATTAAATTAATGAAATTTGCAATTTTTCCAATATTAAATCCCGATTTTTTACACAAATTAAAAATCTGTTTCTTATATAACCTAGTAAATTTGCACAAAGAATTTACAATCAAACCTGTCTTGTATACGTGTTATACCTTTGTAATATTTCATTGGCTCATAAGTGAAATACATTAAGTCAATAATTCAAGTTTTAAGAAATTTGTAGATAACATTATTTTTTTTAGTGTTATGGAAATAATAGTTTTTGTTTTTTAACAGATTTTTATGTTATTAATAAATTCTTTGGAGTTTAAAATTTTTGTTTCGAATTTTTTTTTACATTAAAATTAAATTTAAAACACTAAAATAATTAAAAATGTTAATTAAAATGGTGACCATTAGTGGATTTCACTTTGAGCCAACGATTTTTTTATCTTCAACCGAGTGACCGATAAAAAACTAAGAATTTGAAAACACTAAAGTACGTTGACTTCTTAAACAAAAACTTGGACTAACTAGTCGATGACAGCACAATCACGAGGCGTTTAATAGGTATAGGTATTAAAACTGACATTTATTTGTCATTTGAAAATACAAATTATAACAATATTATTTACTTATTTCGTCGCTGATAAACTGTATAAGGTTTTTGAAACGCTCCTGGATCTCCTCGTCCAGACTTTGTCTTTCCATCATCGGCGGACTCTCGTTGTGGTCGTCTAATTGGGTTTTTCCTTCTTCTTCTTCTTCTTCTCCACCTCCTCCTCCTCCTCCACCACATTCTTGTGGGTTTTCCATGCTAGGTTCGTCGTGGTCGCTGCTCCGGACGTCCGGGTCCGACGGTTCTACTTCCGCCTTGTGCAGGGACTTGAGCTTTTTTCTTTTTTTCATTTTTCTTTCCAGCTTTTGCACTTTGAATTTCACGTCGGCGATGCCTCGGACCACGTCTTTGAGTACAACGTTTAACGTTAATATTTTGTCGGTCAATGCTAAATATTCCAAACCGTTCGAATGGGACATCTCAATACCGGCGACGAATGTCGTTATCATAATAACTGTCTGCGACCAAAGCCACTTGGTTGTGTGTGTGTGTGTGTTTTATAATGAGTGTTCAGCAATTTCGGTATTAACAAGAATGACATTAGAGAATAGCCGTTAGTCTTGAATGTGCAGGTATTGCGCCACGTTAAGAAATGCACGGTTTACTATTTATAATATATATATATATATAAAAAAAGTGTTTTTCAAATGCTGCGTTGACATATTAGATTACACGAGACTTCAGCTCCTTCCTTTTTTCTTTTTTTATTAATTAAGCCGCGTCAATAAACGTTAGATTCTTGGTCGTATAATAATAAAAATTATAAAAAATAATAACGAGCCATCCCCATGTCTATTTTTTGCCTCGGTGTACAATATTTTGCAAGAAGCATACATATAATATACTAGGTAAGTACAATATATGATATTGGATTAGGCAAATCGTAGAGGGACACAACCTGCCATATTAGTACCCCAGAATAAGCGTACAGTAATAGCAGAGCTGATAAAGTATTGTTTTTACAATAATGTTTTTTTATTTTTCGCTTTTTGTGTCTGGACCGATTTCCTGCCGGTTTATACTGTGCTTTAGTCATTTTTTTTTTTTAAATCACGGCGCTTTGGATAGGCAAAAATCATAAAGCTATACAATAATATTATTATTGTACCACAGCGACGACCGTCGATATCATAACGGCAGCGCTCTCTGCTGGTCGTCGGCGGTACCTCGGGCGGTCTTGGAGAAACGCAACAAACACTGGCCCCGAAAAAAATTAAAACGGTTCGCGTTTAGGTTCGGTTCAGAAATATTATAATATTATATCGCGTATTTTAAACGAAAATAATTTTTTATTTAAATAATTAAATTTGATTGATTATCGGCCACGCCGCGCACGGCGGCCAACCCGGCAGCTGCTGCCGCGTTATCAGTTCAGTGTTGTAACGGACATTTTTGTTTACGTGTCTTCGTTCCGGTGACGTGAATGGTTTGAAAAGTTAACAACAAAGCGGTTAGGCAACGAAAGCAATTTTTCCGTCCCCAATACTTTTTCCATCCAACGCACAGTCACTGCCAACGAGTAGGTATCGTGTTCCGAGTAGTAAATTATTATTGCTCCTGTCGTGTAACTCGATTTTCATATTTGTACATTTATCCGTAATACTGTTTAATTATTACCGTTCGTTAGCTCGTACACAAAAACAAAGTACGTTGTGTGTGTGTATGTGTGTGTGTGTGTGTGTGTACACTTGTCGTATAGATAATCTAGGTAAGTGTTGTATTTTCAGCTAATATGCTCCTCTGGGGGACTGTGTGATAATTATTTGTAAGGTAACAATGATATTCTTATTTTCCTTGCCTAACCGCTCTACGTTTTGTTTTGTCTGGTGCTTTCCGAGATTTTACATTGTACACCTCAGGGAAATAGCGCCGTAGTGGTGTGTGTGTGCGTGGACACGGCCGTTAGAATGTCGCGTTACCCTACGCTGTGCAACAACGGTTACGAGCTGGGCCGTACGATCGGCACCGGCGGCTTCGGTAAGGTAAAATTGGCCACGCACACTCTGACCGGCGAAAAGGTGGCCGTCAAGATCATGGACAAGACCAAGCTGGGCAAGGACTTGCCGCGCGTCAAGCTCGAAATCAGTGCGCTCAAGACGCTGTCGCACCCCAACATCTGCAAACTGTACCAGGTGATCGAGACCGAAACTCATTGTTACGTCGTCATGGAATACTGTTCGGGCGGCGAACTGTTCGATCACATCGTCGAGAAGAGCCGGCTGAGCGAAATGGAATCCAGACGGTTTTTCAGGCAAATCATATCGGCCGTATCGTATTTGCACGACAAAGGCTATGCCCACAGAGATTTGAAACCGGAAAACGTGCTTTTGGACAAAGACCAAAATCTGAAACTCATCGATTTCGGCCTTTGTGCAAAACCACAAGGCGGTATGGAAAGTCTGTTGTTGACGTCTTGTGGATCGCCGACGTATGCCGCCCCCGAACTCATTAAAGGTGTAAAGTATCATGGATCCGAAGTGGACATTTGGAGTATGGGTGTCATACTGTATGCTTTGTTATGTGGATGTTTACCATTCGAAAGTGATAACATCGATGAACTCTTTAGGAAAATCATGAAAGGTAAATATGGCGAGCCAGGCTGGCTGTCGTTGGGTAGTAAGCGTTTACTAAGACGAATGTTGTGTGTAGATCCATTACACCGTATACGAATTAAAGAGTTAATTAATGACCCGTGGGTCAAACTGGGATTCGGCTGTCCGCCACAGACTTCTTCTTTGAACGGTGATCAAATAAAAGACAACGAATGTCTGGATGTCATGAGTCAATATTACAATATTGACAGGGACGTCTTGTGGGAACGCCTGTCCAAATGGAAATACGACAGCGATAGTGCCACTTATTTATTGTTAATGAATCAGAAAAAGTCTGGCGATCCAATACGTTTAAAGAAAAAAGAATTGCCCAAGCCTCAAGAATATGTTATAAGGAGACCCGTGGCTTTGCACACTCCTAGTCAAGAAAACCGAAGGGTTGTTGGCCGTGCAGTCCGAAGAAAGTTGGAAGAAGCGAATCCGACTATACCTACAAAAATCAAACGAAATTCCAACATTGAAACTCCACAGCAAAGCACCTCGACACAAAGTAGCCCGGGCGGTAAGATACTTGATTCGCTCGAAAAGAAATTGGGTTTTGATCGGGTTAGAAAAGCTCTTACTCCACGGCGTCGAAATGTTGCTCAGCCGCAGAGAAAACCTGAAGTATTGAATTTAAAAAAAGACTTGTGTAACATATCGACAACGGTGTGTAAGGATCCGGAAAAAGTGTTGGACCAACTAGAAGACGCGTTGGTTAAGAAGAATGTAATTTGCACAAGAAAGGGCTTTGTGCTCAGAGGCAAACTGAAAAGCGACATGGATGAAAAGTTAAAATTATCCTTCGAACTAGAGATCTGTATGGTGCCTTCAATGAACAAAGATAATGGATGTGTTGTAGCCATCCAAAGAAAGCGTCTTAAAGGCGATTCGTGGATGTACAAAAAAATATGCGAAGAAATTCTAAATTTTACTGCAAAATGTGATACAATTCAAGAATAAACAAATATTCGTTTATATCTAACTGTAGAATTATTTTTATTACTATTATTTTTTTTTTTGACAATATAATATCTTTAAGTTGTGCTTAAATCTAAATATTGAATTCAACAGAGTTGTGATCGATTAAGTTATAAAGTTTAAAACTATAATTTGGCTATTTCAAGTTGACAAAATTAATTTTTCGATATTTATTATACTGTATTCTGTTATGTGAAATATTTAATTATTTTGAAAGTTGACTAACGTGTAAATATTAAAATAAATTTTACGCTTAAATTAATATTTACTAAAACATAAACCAGGGTTGCTATTTGTTAGTATACACTCTTCGTTGTTATGCTATGCCTAAATTATAATACAAAAATTTTTCTAAAAAAAATTAATTTCTATACAATTATTATGATAGTATTTAACTTATATATTCCAAGCATAGTTCTTTTTTTTTTTTTTTTCATTAAATTTACATTTATTAAGTACAAATCAAAAGTATTGTTTTTTTTTTCTGTTACCGTTGTATACGTTATAATTAATATCAGTATTTATCTGTAGCTTGTTATATATATATATTACAATAAAATATAATTTGTGTACATAATAACGTCGTCAATAGTTTTTCGTTATTAATATATCACCCTTCGAAACGCAATATTCAATTTAATATGGATAACGCTCACTATTAATTGCTCTTGCTACGCTAAAAGTAATCTTTACAAATCGGGTTTGATTGTAACAAGCAAATTTTTCAATAGTTTGTAAGAGTTGGTTTGCGTTTGAAGTGTTTTGCTAATTTACTAGAAAAAATCATGCTTTTTTTTATGTTTTGTCTTACAAATTTATAAAATGTAAAAAACAATGGGTGTGTTATATTATTTATATTGTACTATGTTTAACAATTTTTGCTGTATTGTTGATTTGACAATATTGTCACAACAAATTGTTTGGACGCTAAGAAATTGTTGGTATTTTAAGGTTATGTTTTTAATTTGAAAATAATGATAACATTATCAGCCGTTTTCAATCATTAATTGTTTTGTTTCTCTTCTGTTTTTCAGGATGTATTCGTTAAGGTCGTTTTTAGTTGTTGCGTTTATGCTTTGCGCTTCAATCGAGGTGTTTTCCCAAAATGCTGCAGACCAACGAGCTAGACTGTTGGTGTCCAAACAAGTACTAAACAAATTACTAGTCCAGGAATCCGATATCTTAGTCAAAGTACGTATACCGGTGTTGTACAATTATTACGATAATTTATTCATCGTGTTTTACAACGTTTTCAGTATACAATTTACAATGTGGGTAGTGTGCCGGCAACAAATGTCGTATTGCAAGATAACGGTTTCCCCGCAGAAGCGTTCGCCACGGTCAAGGGAAATCTGAACATTAGATTCAACAGGATACCGGCCGGCGCTAACGTGACCCACGCTGTTGTTGTCAAACCTCTTACGTACGGCCGATTCAACTTCACTTCTGCATTGGTTCAGTACAAGCCATTCGAAAGCGCCGAAGAACCTCAATTCGCCATTAGCAGTGAACCCGGTGAAGGATACATCATCAGCTATGCCGAATACGATAAAAAATTCTCTCCTCACGTGGTAAATAATATTTTTAATCGCTACGAGTCTTAAATTTATAATGCTAAAAACGTGTATAATATGTATATGCAAAAAGTGACCAAGTGTAAATTTTCTAGTCGCTGTCGTTGTCGATAGAAATGTCACCAAGTGTAAATTGATATACTCAAAGTAACCCCAAGAGAAAATTTAAAATGTTATTTAGGTTTAAAAAAATTATTTAAAAATCTATTTTTCTTGCCGTAAGATGATTAAAATGTGATTAACTAAAAAAGTAATAATTTCTCTGACACTTTCAGCACGATGGCGACAATAAAGAGTGTAGTAAGGAAGTTATCTAAAAGAAAAATTGTTATATTTTTTTTCGATAAACAAAAGAAAAAAGTGGTCTATGGTTTTTTTTTATTTTTGTTATTTTGATGTAACAAATAACGACAAAAAAAAAACATAGTTTCGCGAAGCAAGCCGCCCAAGCTTGCTGACATTTACTATAACACTGATTCTACACAAAGCTGGCCGAAAATTTATATAGCGACAATACGACTTTTTCAAACAAATAAACACTTATAGAAATATTTTGTTTGTGATGCAGTTTTTACGCAAAACATATTTCTACTCAAAACTTTATAAAAGATGAAAAATATATATTACATTTTACGCAACTTCCCTATTGTTAATGAAATATGTTTAGTTATACAATTTGAGGTACAACATTGTATGTACTCCTTTGAGTATTTAATTGTTTTTAACAAGTAAAAGTGTTAATTAATTTAAAAGAACAAGTAGAGAAAAATCAATTTTTTTCTTTTTTTTTTTATTATTACGCAGTTACTAATATTTTTTGCATTATTGCATTATTTTTAATTGTTTCATCATTAAAATTGTATTTATTAATTAAAACTAAACGATATACTAAAGCTGTTATTTCAAACATAATGTAAAAAAAGATATAACAGTGTAAACGTGTTGTCTAAGTATGTAATACGCAGAATATACAAAACAGCTTCACTTACAGTAACAATGATAAGGTTAGGTTAATTGGTGTTGCCACAGAACAACGTTTTATAAGTTTTTTTAATTTTAAGGTAGTTCTAACAGAAAATCCATTAACAATTATTATTGTTTTGTTCTATTACACTTTTATCATTAACCTTAAATAAATAAAAAAATCTCTTACATACATTAATAAAGTAACATAGAGATCATGTTGTCTACTATTAGTAACCGCAATATATTTACGTAAGGAGTTTTGTATTAACATTTGATGTTTTTTTTTATTTTTAGATGGATTGGTTGGCATTTGCTATTATGTCCTTGCCGGCAGTGGCAGCTCCGTTTGTGTTGTGGTGGTTCAGCAAGAGCAAATACGAATTAATTTTGAAACAAAAACGTGAAAAAGTGTCCAAAGATTGAATGAAAACCCAATAAATAAAAAAATTTGTAAATTAATATTGCCTAATTATAATAATAAGTTGAATTTTGTGTTTAATGATTTTTTTATACGATTGTTCATGTTTTGTAAAAAATCGCTAAGGATTTTTCACTAATTTAATTAATTAGAAATAGTTATATATATATATTCACAAATCTTTATTCATTAATATTATAAAAATGAAATCTAACATTTATTTCCTGTAAGATAATATACTATGTATGATCTCCTTGATTTTAATATTTTGGAATTTAATAATAATTCAGTTCTCTGATGCGCCTCGTAGCTTGTAACTGTCAAACTCGATGTTAGGATTCAAAATTATAAAACCTAATTTGACTTTATATGTATAAGCAAAAAATACATAGACAAATTTGATTTCGGTTGAATGGCCAACTTAACTGAAATTAATAAGAAAAAATTAAACTTTAGAATTATATATTTTTTAGTTGCTTCAAATTACAAGACAACAATTTGGGTTGTAAATAATTTTTACATTTATGTTATTTGTATTTTATCTTTATTTTTTTTTTTAATTTGGTCAATAGCTGTTTAGAGTAATAATTAAAAACGATTGTTATTTTTAACAATTTTTAGACATAAGGTTGTTCCTGAAAAAATGTTTTTCTAAAAATTATAATAAATAAACGTCTTTATTTCACTTATATAAACACATTACAAAACGCTTTTCGGTTATGTATAAAATTCATTATTCATAATAATATAATATAATATAGTTATTATTATAAACTTTACAATATTACACTTTGGTAACAATAAAATATGTTAAAAAAAAAAAATAAACAAAATACTTAAAATCAAAAAAGTAGGTACTACGCGTAACACAGTATAACATTGTCCGTTGAATGAGAATCGTAGTTGATATTCTTCCTGTGACAAAACAAAGCGAAATGTAACTGCCAATTATTGTGCATATTTTAATATTATTACAACGCAGTTATTAAGTGGAGGATGTAGTAATTTCAACAATTTGTTAGAACAACTATTGTGTTTTTTAATATTTTTTTTATACAAGCAACAGAGCTGTTATTTCTACAGCGATTTGATCAGTAATCATTCCAAGTATAGGTACACACTCACGTTCAAGGACTGCTAATGGCTTTGCACGTTTCGCGAATTTTCTTGGGCACCCTTCTGCCTATGTGCAACGCCACTTCGCCCAGTTTGATCTCTTTGAACACGGCGATCGCTTCTCGGTGACTTAGCCCGTGCAAAGGTTTATCGTTTACCGCTAAGATTTCATCGCCTGAAACGGAAATTGAAAATCAATCAAAACGTGTACAATTATTATTACTACAAACACGGCACAGGGATCCCGTCTCTGAGTAGGCGTTGAACGCATGATTTTGCAAAAAAAAATTGCCTATACTCTACTCCTTAGAAACAGCTGCGGTGTCTGATGAGAAGACGGAGATTGCAGTAGAGTATTAAGGGGCAGAAGATAGGCAAAAATTGAACTAGTAGCCGTTTTCGACGTGCCTACTAATTTTAAGGGAACATACATTGAGTTTTCCCGGTTATAATATTTCTTCCAGTTGTTTTGCCCAGAGTTAAGGCGAGAGTGTTAAATCAAGAGTTCGAGTTTGCCAGAGAAGATGTTAAACACCTACAAAAGGTCAATGGGGAGGTTTTGTTGTCGGTCAAAGCTCTCAAGGTGGTGTCTCTGTGATCAAGTGCATCATCGATGCAACCGTTTTTCATAAATAATATGTCACGTTTAGAATAACAATATATTATAACAGCAGCGCTGTTGTGTGTGTTAAAAAAAAAAAATCGTCGATTGTGCATCTCCGAATAATTACTATCTATACCGTGGCGGTGCCCATAATTGTTATTGACCTTTTTTTTTTTTTTGTGTATATTAATATGGACGTGCGAGCCGCCAAGATAACTGACTACTACGGGTTCGAGTGCATGAATAATTCATATTGCGCAGATAACGTGTGTGCATTCACAATTATTATTATTATATATTGTATTGTACACCAAGATAGGCGGTATTGTTGTTTTTTCGTGACTCATATTTTTTTTTTTTTGGACGCCAGTCGTCGACCGGGCAAGACGAGACGTGCAAGTAGTAGGTATCTATTAATATTTACTATAATGGTGTATTTATCATAATATGTATACGGTGGCAGAATGGCCCAACACCGCAGGCAATGCACCTACTGCCGCCGGACGTTGGGCATGTCATAACGGTTGTTGTAAGTGCATACACGGCACTGATATTGTGCGTATACCATTATATATGTATGTCTAGGGACCGAACTTTGCACTTTTACCCTATTTGTTTGTGTGTCGAGTACTTGGTGTAACATAATTTTCCCCGCAATCAGCCTCCTCACCTTCTTTTAACGACTGCAAGTCGGCGGCCTGTCCGTTGGGAAATATCGTCTTCACGTAGATGCCCATGGTTCCTTTGGGCGAGTCCGTACCTCCCACGATGCTGAAACCCAGGCATTTGTGCCCCGGACCTTTGTGGAACTTGACCGTCATGATTGTGAAACAAGCGTCCTTGCCGCCACCCCGGGGCAACGTGTAGAAACAACTGTTGTCGTTGTTGTTTTCCTGATTGGAAAAACAAAAAATCAACGATAATAATTATTATAATTGTATAAATCGCGTGTGGGTTTACATGAGAAAAACAGGCCAAGTTGGACGAGGTTTGGTTAGGTTAGGTAGGTTAGGTTTGGTAGGTTGGTTAGGTTTGGTTGGGTTTGGTTTGGTTAGGTTAGGTTTGGTAAGGTTTGCTTCGTGACGCAAATTTTCCTAAGAGTTGAGTAGGTATAATAGTATATCTATATTAGAAAAAATATATAATATATTTTTCCCCTCGAACAACTTACATAGGAAGGAATTTTTGTACTACAGATAAACCGCGCCCTGTCACTTCAATTAGTATTATGTTTTCATGTTCATTTCCCCCGCTCTTCCCTCTATCTACAATCTTCTCCCCTAACCACCCCTCTATTTGTCATTGATATCTTATCGCCTGTTTCTTATCGGTAGCCTTTATCAGCTGCTGCTGTCACACACCACTGTTCTCTTGTCGCTTATCCTTTATCAGCCGACTTCATATCAGCACTCGTAATCAGCTGTTTCTTATCATTATCGAGGAGGTCATGTTAGGTTAGGTTAGGTTTGGTAGGGTTTGTTAGGTTGGGTTTGGTGGTTTGGTTAGGTTAGGTTAGGTTTGGTAAGGTTTGCTTCGTGACGCAAATTTTCGATAGGCCCCCCCCCAGACATCAGACATAATATACTCATGACTTGAAATGAAAATCATCAAACATCATGACTACCAAACGATATTAAGATTAGGAGGTAAAAACTTATTTAGTTACAAACGAGACCCCCCCCCCCAAGACCTGCAGAATGAAAAGCGTGGCATCTCTCACTCTCTCAAAACACATAAGATCGCTTCCCCTCACGATTTCCGCTCCTCGTTCGGTCTGGTTAGGTCAAGTCTTCGACGGGCACTTCTGGCAGAGGAAAAGATCAATAACCGCCAAATGTGTGTACACAGTCAGGTACACCATTCACGGGGGAGCCGTCAGTCCAGAACATGGTGCTACAGTCTACACATGTAAGAAAGTCAAGAGAAATGGCAACTATTGGCAGACTTCACGGGAGTCTAAAGTCAAAGGGAAGTGTCATTCTGTGTGGATTCAGACAAATACACAGACGACCCAAAGCCAAGACTGGATAACGGAAAGTATGGCATCATACATGTTGCTTCCTCTGGCCGAACCTTTGGAATTTGAGCCAGGTAAGAACAATTCTCATCGGCTGAGAACGTCGATGCATTGTGAAAACGCTTGATTTGCATGACAATTCGGATGCTTTGGAAATTGCAAATGACAGCACACAATGTGTACACAACATTAAAATACAATATAGGATGCGTGTGACCGGGGCAAAGGGCGATTCGTCTGCCGAATTGGGTGCGAGGACACGCTCCAAGACGGGAAACGCGAAGGTCGACCCGACCTGTGTACTATATTATTAATATAATACCATCCTATACAATGCCCACTAATAAAATAATAATTGTGCACACCACACAGGTATTCGCACCGTGCGAATAACCCAATTATAATATCAGACTTTGTGCGAGTCCAACACAGACAAGTGGAGGCACCGTGTAAATAAAATACACACTCTCGTGCATATTAATATCGTTCCCTGTACACCGATAGAGTCTGTGTGCTAACCCGACGAATAGTAGATATTATTATAATAATAATAAATAATATGCAGTGCGTTGCGCAAAGTGTAAAATCGCAGACAAAAATAAAAAAAAAACCAGATAGTGCATTACTTAAGAACAAATTGGGAAAACAAACTTTAATAACCTCAAATCAGTGTGGTCAAAGAAATGTTATCAAGCGCCTGTTATCACCATCGACCTTCGTTAATCCACACAGATATATATATATAATACAGGGTGATCATTTTATCGCGAACCACTCAATATCTCATGGGGTTTAATAAGACATTTTTTTTTCCTTCGTATTGTTTTTATACGATGTGATCTCAATTTTTCACAATTTTTTTGGTTTTTACCCAACTTCCAACTTAGTTTTTTTTGGGTAAAATTATGTTTTTTTTTTTTTTTTTAATGATCACCCTGTATTATTAAACTAGATTGCAAACTCGTGATAAGAACTGAAGTCGACGTCTGCCATTTTTGTGGGATTTATGTGTGTGTGTATAAAATAGTATAGAATAATATAATCAAACACAAAAATAATATAAAATAATACTATATATTATTACTGTGATTTTGTGCTATCGACTTAACTTGTAATTGTTATACACAGTGATAACAGTTATCAACATGTGATAAGGTTTGAATTATATGTATAATATATCTATGTTAACTACTTGTTATCAGTAATTCTTATCAGCTTAAGTTATTATTGTAAACAGTGTATACAATATTTTCGACACTATAATATTATTTGCCCCCGCTGCGTTAAGTTTGAACCAGTTAAAAATCGTTTTTTGAAAATCTATATTATTTCACCGTGGAGTGTGCTATGTGGTTTTATATTTTATTCTGTGATCATAACAGATGTATATAGGCTGTCAGTAAATAACCATTATGAAGAAAAGGATCCGGACTCGGAACGGAGGTGAAACGATTTACATAATTTTTTATGTTTTTTATTAGGTATATTTTTTTAAAAATATTACAACACTATTAAATTGCACTGTTTAATATGCGCACATACTCTCCGACGTGAAAATATCATTTCAAAAATTAAGAATCCAGTACACATTTCTAAGTTTAGATAAGATAAGTACTGTCGCTAAAGTTTGGACGGGGAGAAAATGAATTTGAATAAAGCGCACCGGGGACCGTTTTTTTTGGACGACACCTTGTGCGTGTGTCGGACGTTTGTATAATATTGTATTATACCTATTCTTTTTATAAATATACATTTTATATATATTAAGGCAAGCATTGTTGTTCATAACGCGACGCTTTGCTTTTCCATCTACACACACACACACACACTGTCCACGCACGATTTATAATATTGTTATGATTTAATTTCCGTTTATACGCCATTATCAGCCGCACGAGTTTTGTTTATGGTCTTTTTGACGTTGTAAAATTGTAATGTGATATGTAATAAAATAAAAAAACACATCATTATTTAAAACCAAAAGCTAAAAAAGACCTTTGGCGGTACCGTTGGCACGGGGTCAACAAATTAACGTCATCTCAAGACCATCTAATTGGTGGCCAACAAGGTTTGAAAAAAAAAAATAAGTTATTAAACGTTTTTTGGAAAAAAGAGAACGCAGAGTTTATTTTGACAAAAAAATACAAAATATGAAAATTTATATTGAATTAGAAAAATAAGACATGACCGACATGGAATTTGCCTTTTTAGTGATTTATTTAAATGTCTATAAATAGTAGTTATTTTTCATATACATTGGCCCTAATTAATTTTGTTGAATAAATATTAATTTTCAAAGTTGTGGTGTTCTTTTGTGAACACCCTGAGTTAACACCTAACCTAACCCCTAACCTGTATTTTGTCTAAAAGGCGACAGAAAACGTTTATTAGAACTATATTTCGATACAACGTGAGACGCTCTTTTTCTCCAGAAAATAATTGCAATTTTAATTCAATCGAATACAAAGTAGGTAACTTGTTTAAGTTTAGAATAATTAGCTGACGATGATAGTGTTAAAAAACAAAAACTCAATTTATACTAAAAGTTGATAAATTTGCTACACGAGTATTCACCTCAGTCCTCACCTAACCAGCTGCTGCTGTTGTGGTTAGTACCTAACCACTCCTTTGACAATGCATAATAATAACGACATTATAGATTCCCACGCAGCTCTGCGGCGTGGCTGTTACAGAGAATTATTCCATAATGAAATTTTAATCAAATTTTAACACCGCCGGTCTGACCTTGGACAGAGTTGTGCAAAGTCTTATTCGAATGACTTTTACTTGACTTATTATAATGTCTTGGCCAGATGATTATATCTTAGATAATGTTTCATTCGAATGATCACACAACTTGTACACGTGATTAATCCAACAATCGAATGCGTGAAAAATGTGTACTTGGACAAGTGATAATAATTTGATATCGTTCTGGGAATTCGACCCAAAACCACTTCCAAAGACGGAAACGTATGGGAAAGAGTAAAGACCGACGATAAATGATACTACTAATATGGGAACGGCGATTGCGCCGCGGTGATTACCTGGTCGTCGCGTCGGTGACCGTTGGCGCTGTTTGGGCCGCCCGTGACCTTTTTGTCGATGGTCCGATAACCGTTTCGGCTGACCCTGTTCGGACCGTTTCTGTCCAGGGCTGCGGCGACGGCGGCGGTCGGCGGCGTCCGGGTCCATTGTGACGATTCCGGTATGGCGGGCAGGTCGTCGGCGACGGCGGTCCGGTAGGGCGGCGTCCGCTGTTTGGCGTCCGGCGGGTCGGCCGCGACCGGGGTGAACGTCAGCGACGTCGGGCCGTAACGCGCGAAATCGTGCGGCACGGCCGGAGGATGCGGCACGGCGGCGGACACCGGGCCGCCGATGCGGAACGAACCGCCGGGGCCGTTGCGGACGACGGGAGTGGACGACGGTACGCCGCAGACGGACGGCGAGTCCAGGGCCAGCGAATCGGCCAGCGACCACCGGCGGCACGACCGCATCTTGGGTTTGTTCTGCAACAAAAGGCTACAGTTGACGTACTCGTCGTCGTCCTCGTCGTTGTACCCGTCGTCCGTTTCGTCGTCGTCGCCGCCGCCGCCGCTCGCGTAACCGCCGCGAACGTTGTTCAACGACAGCCTGTCGGCGCGGTGTCTGAGGTTAACGGCCGGGTAGGACCTGCAACAATACAATTATTTTTTTTTTCATTAACGGAGTCGCTCGTACCGCGAAACACGTGCTAAATTTAAATTTCGCATCACACACACGTTGTCGCCGCCGTTGAACACATGTTGAACATACACGTGTGGCTTTCCGGTTTAAAGGTTAAATTGGCCAACGCGTGTCACGTTTTCGACCAATTCTATTTTGGCACACGTCCACGGAGGGTTAGGTTAGGTTAAATTATTCACAAGTAAAAATGCATCGCACTGATGCAATTTTTGAAGTTTTAATCATACAAGTTTGTTTTAGTTTTCAAAATGAAAATACCGTCCATGGCCACTCAATTGAATGTATTGTGTAATTAGTAAACGATACATTGAATAAGGGTTGAATATGGTTTTGTTCAGATACATACTCGAAACAATTCGTTAAACGTTAAATAGTTGAATGAAAAACGATGCAGCCATAGATGAGGACAATGCAAGTGTTTGAATGTGTTTGAAGACAGTAACAGGCATAATATAATAAGCGTAAATGGCTTAATTTTGAACTGAAGGCAGAAAAAACGCAAATTTATATCAAAAAAAAAAAATGTCCAATAACCGGATTAATACGACGGATATAATATTATATTATATTATTATTACTCAGATAGCAGTGGAAACGAGGAAGTGTTTTTACCATATACTCGGTATTACAGATAATACATAATGTTATAATATGTATGAAGTGGTATGGAAAAATCAAATAAGTCGCGGTAATTGTATTGTCTTCGGACGACCTCGTCCTTAATATTTTTTCCCAAAACGACCGCGCCTATCCTAGTTCGCCATATACACACATTACACACCGTCATCAAGTATAATATCCTATTATTATGGTTTTATATATATATATATATATATTTATATTTTGTTTAGTAGCCATAGGTACAACACAATAGCGATACGGTATACCGTGCACGCGTGCAGCGTACATATAAAAGACCACCACAAAAAGTCGTGCATCACAAGTACCTAAGTTTCCTAAGAGTTGAGATTAGGTGTAATAGTATATCTATATTAGAAAAAAATATATAATATATTTTTTCCCTCGAACAACTTGCATAGGAAGGAATTTTTGTACTACAGATAAACCGCGCCCTGTCACTTCAATTAGTATTATGTTTTCATGTTCATTTCCCCCGCTCTTCCCTCTATCTATACAATCTTCTCCCCTAACCACCCCTCTATTTGTCATTGATATCTTATCGCCTGTCTCTTATCGGTAGCCTTTATCAGCTGCTGCTGTCACACATCACTGTTCTCTTGTCGCTTATCCTTTATCAGCCGTCTTCATATCAGCACTCGTAATCGGCTGTTTCTAACATTATCGAGGTTAGGTTTGGTTAGGTTTAGGTTAGGTTTGGTTGGGTTTGGTTGGGTTTGGTTGGGTTTGGTTAGGTTAGGTTGGGTTTGGTTGGGTTTGGTTAGGTTTGGTTAGGTTAGGTTAGGTTAGGTTTGCTTCGTGACGCAAATTTGCGATAAACCCCCAGGCATCAGACATAATATGCTCATGCCGAAATCAATAAACATCAAGACTTTATCTCACAATTGTAACATGAGCGAGATTTTTGAAAACCGCCAATGTCAACATTTAGATAATGGCTCGAACTCGTTCATTCATAAAAAAAAAAAACTATAAAGCACTACGATAATTGTTCATACATACATACATACAATTATGTTTTTTTTTATGGATATTATATATTGTATTGATCGAGTTAATGCTCGCCGAAAGAGCTATTCTAACCCGGTCAAGGAATTATTGAAGGCCCGCTCGGTTTTCATAATAATTGGGATAGTTTTCTCGTTGAAGCCCACACCGGACTCGCCTAATGAATATTATATAGTTTGCATACAATATACTATATAATATTATGTGCATTGTATAAAAAAGATATCACATTATCTGATAGCGGTATAGTATACAAGGGTCATCGTCGTCGTCCGGTTGTATACGGGCATTTAAATTAGTGCATTAATTAGTTTATGGTCTTGGGCCGTCTCGCGGAGTCACTCTGGTAAATTAATAGAGCGATATTCCTTATTGTTACCAGTTGCTTTTTGACGTGGACCCCCCCCCCCTCCCCCTATAGGCGAGTCAAGTAATTTTTCACGATGAGTGTGACTTTTCTACTATACAATATATACTTAGGCTATTATATGCGTTTAAAGCGCAGGTGTTTTGGCCAAGGGGAGGGTTCATAATATACAACATTTTTGTGCAGCAATTACTCACACAAGCGCCGGGTATACATTTTCCTGGCTTTTATCACAAACGTCATCATCACAATATACTGTATATATATATATATATATATATATTGTGTTGATTACAATCGGTTAAGTACACACAGCGCGCAAGTATTTATGGCGATGAACTGCTCGAATTTCGCTGGTGTCGCATATATAATTGAATAGTAGTATAAAAAATAAAAATAAAACAATTGTAATTATACGGCGCCGTCGACGAAGACAAACGTCTCGCGATATCCCGAACGTTTCCCACGGGAACGCCAAGCTGTCGCCACCTATATATATATATATATATACATTTAAGTATTACCTATAATCGAACGAAGGGTCGAATGTACATAAATATATAAACCCAACACACGTGTGGGAAAATACCGTTGAAATAAAAGCCAGTGCACAAAGAGGCAGATCTTCCAAGCGAGTCGCACAGGTCTTACATTAGCCGAAATCAATTTCGAATAAACGCTTCGGTGCGAATCTGTAATGGTCGGAATACAAATATCGATAAAATTGAATAGCCTCACACTAGATTTGCCTTTAGTCTAATTTGTTAGATCTTAAGCCCCAAAACTTCACCTAACAATTATTAATGATCATCAACGCGGTTTGCAATAAAATGGTCAAATATAATACCCACACAGATTAGATTAGGTTAGTTTCAAAAAATCACATTCTCATTTGGACAGGTTAGATTAGGTTAGGTTAGGTTAGGTTAGGTTAGGTTAGGTTAGGTTGGGTTAGGTTAGGTTAGGTTAGGTTGGGTTAGGTTAGGTTGGGTTGGACACTTTTCAGCGTCACTTAAAGTTTGTCATAAAAAAAATCGTCCCATTTGATTTTCCCACAGAATTGCTATAGCGGTTATGTATTTTTCTAAATGTCATATTTTGGTTAACTACTTGAAATAACCAGTTGAAAGTCATGTTATCGTCTTACGCACGAGATAGGTCATCGCTTGTCATCTAAGAAGAAGAACATGAATTCGGGCCTGGGACAAAAAACATACCGGTTGTTATGGCGGGCTTCGGGGTCGAATCCGTGTGGAGGGTTGTTGTGTGTTGTTGTTGTTGTTGTTGTTGATGTTGTTGGCGACGGCGATGTTGTTGAACACGTCGTTGCAGAACGACACGGACGACCGGTCGCTGCCGGCACTGTCGTCCGTCCCGCGGCCCGACGAACACGACGACGGCGTCTCGACGATGCGGCACCGGGACGCCAGGTGGACGCTGAGGTTGTCGAACGCGGCCGGCAGCGAGCACGGGCCGTTGCGGTCGTCGTCGCCGTCGTCGTCGTCGGTGTCGGCGGCGTCTTCTCGTTGGGCGGACGGCAACCGCGGAGACGGCACGTAAAACGTGGACGAATCCGTCGGCGTACCGGGCGGACGCCGTTTCCGCATGCGGTTCAACCGGGAACGGAACATCTCTTGGATGGTGACGGACGGCGGCTGCGGCTGCGGCGGCGGGTCGTCGTGACGCGGTATCAGGAGTCCGCGGTCTCGGTGTCCGCAGCGGCCGCCGCCGCCGCCGTCGTCGTCGTCGCTCTTGATGACGTCGCCTTTGCCGCCCGCGTTGAACGACGAACACCGCCGGCGGATGTTGCGCCACTTTTGGCCCATGTTCTTGTTCCAAAGGCCCACGTCTGTTGAACACACGATAAACATATTTTGTTATTATTTGAACAAAAACCGATTATTTATACCTACAGTTTATTTTTTAAGATTTTATATTTTGTTTATTATGGAAAAAATGTAAGTACAAGTACACTAGTAGTACAAGTATAAGCATAATAATGTAAGTAATATTTGAAACAAACGGGCGACAGCGCGGCCAAACGCACAATGAACCGCTTAAATGCGATCAGCTGTAATTTATAAAAGCATTACATTATTGCAAAACAGTAATATATATTATCAAAATCGTCGCAGTGGGCGAACGATTTTTATTTAATTATTATTATCACTATTTCGTTGTCAATCGACCCTTCTTTAATTCTATTACCGGACTATTACCCGAACCGCCTTATCAGCATCTTAAACGATTAGTATATGTTCGGATACAATTAATTCTATTATTACTACCATTATTATATTTATAATAATATCATTATCTAACCACTATTGGTTATTAAAATCTCTATCGATTGCCATATATATTCTATATTATTGTGACAAGATGAACCAGACCTTGTGAAAGAGAAAACGGTAACGTTTATACTGAACTATTTGCGCTTTGTCGCTGAAAATCAAATATTGTACTGATAAAACGAAATCGTCGAGTTGTTTCGGTGAAAATTTACAATTACAATAATACAATGTGTAAAACAAACAACGATAAAAAAAACATTAACATCATTACCGGTTGCCTAAGGTCAAAGAGATACTGTAATAGCCAAATGGATTACGCCATTGTTAGTAGTTAGTGCGAAGACTTCAAGGCGATTGCCCGTTAACGGATAGCTTCCTTTAAAAAAAAAATGGTGTATTACAGTGTTGTGTTTATAAGGAAGGGGGGGAGGAGATCCTCCCCTTGGATTTTTTAGAACAGTTAGAAAACAGATATACTTAAAAGTAATATTATATTAAGAAATACGGAAAAACTTAACTACCCAAAAGAAAGAAATTTTCGATTTAAAAGTTCATTGTTAGCTAAAAATATTAAATTGCCGAATGGTGTCTCTATTTTTGTTTTATTAATTATAATGTCATTTTACTTGTATTTTGTTTAGTTATATTTTTAATATTGTCTTTGTATACTATTGTAGACGATTCGAAGCGTAAAAAAAACACTGTCATTTAGCTAAAACGAGGCCGCACAACATGACATATTAATAGACAATATTTTATGGTCGAACAAATATTTGAGTACAATCATCATTATAATATATGACAATTAGTGATCGCCACGGTCGTTGTGGCGACGCTATTTATATTGATATGATTATTGCACTTGTGTGAACAAAAAACGATTTTTGATTGCACTTAAAAACATCACTACCGGATTTGTGGGCACAAAAATCCAATCCCGGCGCTCAGGTGTACATATTAATATTATTCAAACTGGCGTGGGAAACGATTTACAGATTCACATACTTGAACACGTGCCCTCTCTATAAGATATGGAAATAAATCTTTTGCGGGGCACTTGTGTACTTTTCGCAGCCACTTACAAGACGACGGAGACACGTTAGATAATATTAGTAGCTATCTAAAATAAACCAATAAGCGCAACAATGCCAAATCATACAGGCGACCACCGCCTTTATCAGCATTCGTAATCAGCTGTTTGGTTAGGTTAGGTTTTGGTTGGATTTGGTTGGGTTTGGTTGGGTTTGGTTAGGTTAGGTTTGGTTAGGTTTGGTTAGGTTTGGTTAGGTTTGGTTGGGTTTGGTTAGGTTTGGTTAGGTTAGGTTTGCTTCGTGACGCCTATTTTCGATAGGCCTCCCCCAGGCATCAGACATAATATAGGTACTCATGTCAAAATCAACAAACATCAAGACTTTATCTCAATATTGTAACATAAGCGATTTTTGAAATTCGCCAATGTCAACATTTAGATAATGTTGGTGGTGATAAGATAATATGGCAACGATAATTCGGTATGTTGAAAAAAAAAACAATACAATTTTAAAATAAGAGGTAAAAACTTATCATATTATAGAAAACCAATCGCTTGACAAGGAGCGGCAGTTATTTTCCTTCTGTAAATTTCACTAATCACCAACGCATAAATCTAGTATAATAATATATTAGTTCATCTCTCTATATTATTAGTGCTCTACGGTTCAAGTCCATCAGACTGATAAAAAAGAAAACACTAGGGAATGAACGCTATTTGCTATATGCCTATATCTCTAAGTTCACAGTTTAAGCCGTACCCTTTTTTTTTTTTTAAGAAACTATCTGAGCAAGAAATGAATTCAATAAAATTCATACCCACACAAATATTATTAAAAACCAACGTCAACCTGAATGATTTTTTTTTTTAATAAAAAATAAAGTATATGCTCGTTAGTGTAGCCACACACCTACATAATATGTAATGTTATTGTTTTTTTTTTTCAATTAATAAATATTGCGTTATAAGCCACAACTAACTAACGTGGTGGCTTAGGTAAACCTTAAGTGCTGTAAAAACCTCCAGTCGCGGATAGATAAGGTTATCGACGGTAGAGCAATTTAAGACAAAATATATCAAGGAAAAAAAATAACATTAACTATGTTTAGCGGCGGCCGACGACCCGAACGAACGGATATGAACTATAATACTATTATTGCAACATGTAGAAATATGTAAATTATTTTTTTTTTTTTTTTACTTGTCGTTTACACCCATTTGGATTTGGACTTGGCGAAATACTTGTTTCTGCCTACACGAGGATACAATATGTAATAATAAGTTGAAATTATATTAATTTCAAACGAGCCATAATAATATGTACATATAAATAATTGCACCCCCATGGTCGACAAAATATAGCAATATATTATAATGTAAATTGCACGGGTTTTTTTTTTTTTGTATATTTGTTTATGGCCGAAATGTATGGTTTTTTTTTTTTTTTTGGAACACATGTTGGCTAATTATAATAATAATCGCACACACACACACTATGATATATGAATGATATTATATACATTTATAATATTACACATGCCCGTATGCGGTACCGCCGGATCGGTGTCTTCTCTTTATCTCTCTCTCTCTCTCCTGTCTCAGATTCTGTCCAAGACGAAGATGACTCAGCCAGTAGACTAGTGTTGGCAAACGCAATATATTACACCATTAGGTTTACTATTAAATTCCACAGAACAAACAAACGCAGCGTGGTCCTTATGGGTCAAGTCCATTTTGACTGGTCCATAATCGGTTTTGGATGATTACTACTTAAGTTTAGAATTTTGGGACGGGATATCGAATGTCGATTTTGTTTCTCGTCGTTTTTTTTTGTTGTCCATCCCAAACCCGTTACGGTAGATGAAAGAGAGATATAGTGAAATATTGATATCAAACAAAGTAGTATAGGCATTGATCAATTATTGTCAGTTGGACGGGTCAATTTATGTGTTTATGCAGACACTGTATTATGCACCTAACCGACTACAGCGTGCACCGAAGACACTCCTCGGGATCGACAATCCTTTGAGATAGCGCATAATGATAATGAGATGATGACCCTAAGACATCTATGGCCGCCGTGCAAACTGTCGCCATCCCGTCGGGCGATTTTCAATTCCTCGCCTGATGGCCGCCACGACACAATCAAAATACAGTATACACATGTGTGTATCTTCTTGGACGTTGTTAGTTAGCGGTTTATTCATGTTTGCCAACTACCACTCTATGAATAGCCAATAATGATTACATAATACACCGTTTGATGTATTATAACACGGGGAGGGTTTGTTTTTTTTTTTTTTTTGATACATCAACCCCCCAAAGCGTAGTGGAACCGGGATTTTTTTTCTCCTGAACCTCATCAACCGCGGCTTGTTATCGTGTACCGACCGTGTATTATAATATTACCCTTTGACGACGACAACTGCCCTGTAATAATTATTAAACCAATCGGTTTTGCAAAAAAAAAAAAAAAAAAACTCCACGAGTTCTACCGATCGGATGGTTTACACTTAATGACAAAACTCAAATGCCAGCCACATTATTGCTTGGCGACCGCGTTAACTGGGGTTAGGTGTGTATATATATATATATATATACAGATATACTTGAAATATTACACTGATTTGCATGGAGCCCATGGACAGTGTGCTTGATCGTCTGGAAAGTCATTTGAACGGACTTGGAAGGCGATCATCCGTCGGCTGTGCTCACGCTTGGAATGCTCGTCTGACAATAACACGGTAATTCGGTCAAAACACCATGGACTTAGGGCGCAGGTATAGTGTTTTCTTGAAAAACCGACCAAGCCCACCCCCCCCCCCCCACAGTTTGAGCGGTAAGACAAAATAATTACAAACACTAGCAGCCAGCAGCGACGGTCTCAAACCGGAAGAGAAATGATACATTCAGAGTATTGAGAACAATTTTTTTTTTTTTTTTAGTTAATTTATGTGGGTTTCAAATTCGCAGAGGTGCGCTGCTCTCTCACGCTTTCGCTATGCATTTGTATAGATGGCGAATAAAATGTTTAAAAAATAAAAAACTATGACTGAAAATCCAACTATAAGTGAGAAAATTTATGTTAATTTTCACACCAAATCCAGTCGACGATTGAAGTTTGTAAACATCATATTTTTTATACTCAAGCCCAGACACGGGGCGATACGTTAATCCGATAAGATTTATTTTTCTTATAATTATGTCCGGATAATCTGGCCCGGGTCGTTGTATATTTAAATAATATTGAATTTTTTAATAATAACGGGCGCCGTGGAAGCGACGGTGTATCGTTTGTACAGCATAATAATAATAATTAACATATCAAATAACAACCACAATTTTTGCTACTTAACCGCCCAAACATAGCAGCTATATAGCTATGTGCGTGGGCGTTATGTCAGTGGCAGTGCCCCGGGCTATTATTTACCTTGTGCACGTTTCATACGCACATTATATTATGGTCTATTGAAAATAATTTCATTTTACACGCGGAAAGGGTGTTGTGGTGGAGACAGATCCTTT